CTCTCCCCCCTTCCCCGTACCCCTCTCAACTCTTTTCCCGCACCCTCCCACCCCAATGTACTGCTCCCCCCTCTCTCGCTCCCTTCCCCCCACCAGGGATGGCGCCACCATTCCCGCACTCGCCGCCTTCCAACAGATCCTCAAACTGGACACAACGAAATTCGGTTGGGGCCTCAGCGAGAGGATCCACGCGCCCAACGAACGTCTCCGTACGGACATGTACGACAAGGGCCGGCGTGCGTGGGCCATGCTCCTGGAGGAGCTGCCCCGGCATGTTGTATTCCCTGAGCCGGGGGGGGAGCCGGCGGGGGAGGCAGCGGAGGCGGGCAAAGGGCGAGTCGAGGAAGCGGGAAAAGAGAAAGCGGGGGCCGATGTGTCCGGGGGTGGAGGTGGGAGGGGGGGAAGCTGCGGGGGGGGAACCTCAACCCCTCTGTCGTACCCTCCCCCTCGGGAGGAGCTGTGAAAAGGGGGAGAGCAGTTGGTTAGCAGGCACGTGTGTGTGTATGTATATATATGTATGTATGTATATGTATGTGTGTGTGTTTTGCGATGACGTGATTGATCATTTTGACGGGTGTGCTTTGATGTGGGCGCGTCTTTCTTCTCTGACGGTTTCATCCTCTTAGACTTAGAGGGGTTTTCGGTAACTTTCTCACCCTTCGGTAAAGCACGATCACATACCGCGCGGGGGGCCAGGGCGTGAAATATACGGGATACATAGAGCTCCTCCTCCAAGCTGTGAGCGGTTTCGCGAGCCACTGAGTGTGCCCCTCGATCTCCGTGGGGCTCGAACACACAGACAGGCAGGGGCCCCAGCCGGGACCAGATCAAAAACACTTGTTCTGGATTCCATTACCGTATCCATATCCATCTGCCCAACCGTCATCTGCTGCACCACTTGTTGCTATATTCCATATTCCATTACACTCCCCCACCACCACATATCGGCTGCACCACCGTATCCGCACCAAAATCGGCGTGTGTGGCGCCCGTTGCTCTGCCAACACCGCCGGGTCTTTGCCGTACGGCTTTGAGCTCAACAGGAGCTAGGATGTTTGCTGATCTGCTTTATGATGCAACGTGTACACACAGACACACACAAATACAGGCGTACAAGTACACTTCAGCTGCGATCCAACAAGTCCCGAGAAACGCATTAACGCGCATAAGCACCACAATCCAAGCTGCAGGGATAAAAGACAAAAAAAACAGGTGACACAGCACATCACAGCCCCATGATTGGCTGACGGCGTGCGACGTTATAAACTGGATTTGCTGCGACAGCTTTCAAGCTGGCCACCTTCAGGCATATCTGCCAAACCGTCGAAGTCGAACGGGGCAATACGCCGGACCTTGGGCACTGCACAAGGTCCGCCAAAGTGTTTACGATCAAGTGCAGTACAGCACGCAACGGCACCACACGTAACCCCTCACAAGACCCTCACTAAAGGTTGTTATGTCCACCTCACCTTCCGTGTTCTTGCTTTGAGCCCTAGAGCCCTAGAGGCCCTGCCCCCTGCTCTTCGACGAAGAAAGGCCTGTGACACGGAAGGGGGGAACAGAAAAGGAAAAACACACGCCGCGTCAGTCCGCGTCCATCTGTGCCAGATAGAAACAATGTACCTACCTTCATCACCGCCATCCCCCTGCTCTCCGGCGAAGAAGACCTGCGAAACCGGGAATGGACAGTAGTGCTGCCAGGGTGGACTCCACCACCTACAGCCAGAAAATTGGGAGGTTGCCAGGTTTGTTATTTCCGCATCCGCATCCATCACGCCGCCATCACGCCGCCGTACGTGGCCGGGCTCTCCGCTGCGAAGTCCATCACCATAACGCAAACAGTGAGAATGTGAGAGGTGCTCATCGTTCGCCATTCAGAGCCCCGCCCGAGGAGCCCCGCCCCGCCCCGTCCCGCAGTGGAGGTGGCCCGCAGTGTGTGGGGGGGTGTATTCGCGGGAGCGGAAGGGCGGGACAGCAGGTACGTAAGAAGAAGTATGGAAGTATGTATGTACCCATAGCAAGATCGTTGCACGGACACACATCACAAGACACAGCAATCGTGTGGCTGGCGGCCAGCAGCGCTGATCCTGACTTCGGGTTTTACACACCCGTCGACTGTAAATATACAAGAGGGAGCCGGCCACAGGAACACGGCCGGACAAAAGACCGAAAGCGTGTGAAAGGCCATTGATAGCCTGAGGCCATCGATGCTGTGTGGACAGTTCTTCTTCAGGCTGCTGGCCCCTGGCAATCCGCGTCCTGATTGGAAAGATCCACCACTTCTATCCACCGCACTCGCCTCTTGGGTCAGTGCGGGACCTCTCCGTGTCGTCGGGAGGGATCATCGGGAGGGTTTCCAAGGAGCTCTGAACTTAGGGTTCCACTAGGAGGCGGACCACTAGCCGTCGTGCGGTCGCCAACGGAACGAGCGCGGGGTGTGGTGTCACTTCCTTTCCTCCTCACTTAGGGTCTCTTCGAACCGAAACACCTGAATGGTTTTGAAGTCCCCGTCTGTACGTCTGGAAAGCGGGCGGGGTTTAGCCACCTGGGCCCCTCGGTTTTACAATCAACTGTATGTACTGATGACATATATACGGACATACATACACGCAGGCGGCTGGCAGAGGTTAAGGCCTGACTTCTGCTCCCAGTTGACCCAGTCGACCCGGGTTCAAATCCGCCTGCCGGCTCCTCGGGTGTTTGAGGAGTGATGAAATGGGAGGTGGCCCCCCATCTTATGGACGGTGTAGGACGTGATAATATCAACTTGCGAGCTGACCAGGAACTAAGTTGATGCGCCGTTGATCCGCTAGATTTGGTTGGATGCTGGTGGTGAGTTGCCGAACCCAACGAATACATTCTGAAGTCGGATGGGGTGACGGATTAGGGTGCCCCTCTAGCAGGGGAGAGCAGGGACTGCCCCGGGAAAGGGGGCCGCTGGCGAAGTTAACCACCCTGTAACAACATACATACACAACACGCACACAACCACAACCACAAGCCCAAAACCTGCGTCAACGTCCACGAAAAAACCCTGCATGTCACCTACTAAACACTCCCATTCCTCCTCCTCCGACCTATAGCAGCGCGAGTTGTTGTATATACGTTATATTGTTGCCCATTGTGATAAAGCGGCCCAGAAGCCTCCCACTCTGTAACATTACAATTACAATATTGTTGCCGACTATCGCCATCAGACCAGCATCCGCCGCCGCCGCCGCCGCTGTGCCCTACCACGGCCCTGCTTTTCCGCCCTCCGGCAATAATAATGGACACTGCACCATTTCCCCTTCCCTCCCCCTGCCTGTAAAGCCCTAGTGCTAAAAGTGGTGGTCGAGCACACAACCTTTCGAAACGAACCAACCCGGAAACGGACACCAACAGCAGCATCACCGCCATTTACCGCTACTACCATCATCGTCAGTTCCGACTGGTGTGAAGTTGGTTGACTCGCCGTCTGATATTATTATCCCGCAGGTGGTCCCGCGGGAAACACAACAACAAAAACTGACTGTAATCATCCAATACACACACGGGAGGCTAGGCTGCACAAACCACTTATCATCACACGCTTATCGTGACAAGCCGCGTGTGCAGTGGGCAACCAACCAGAATCCAGAAACCCCACACACACGGGCAACATCACCACCACCGCTGCCACCGGCGGGCCACGTGCGGTACAGATACAGATAGATAGACAGACAGACAGACAAACAGACAGACAGACAGACAGACAGACACGCCCCACGACACCCCCCACAACGCACACACACACATACCCCTGGTGCTATCCTGACGATTTCCACACCGTGCTCTGCTTTGCTTGCTACGACAGACAACGTTGCTAGTACGGCACTAGCACCTGATTGTCCCGTCAGCCGCCACGCGCAAAAAGACATTTTCGTTCGCTGGCTCTCCCTCCGTTTTCGTTCGCGCTTCCATTCCATTCGACCGAAATTTTTTCAATCTCCACCTGGAAAGTACCACCGTGGTTTCGGGCAGGATGTTGTTAGGGTTGTGGGGGGATCGGAGGGTGATCGATGGAGCGGGCTGTCATCATCCTCCACCACCCCCACCATGACGACCGCGCTGCTATCCAGCATTCACACCTACATTCGCCCATCTGCGTGCGTCTGTACGTCTGTCTGCTCGTCTTTCACAGCGCCGCCAGCTGTTGTCGAGTCTTGGCGGTCAGCATTCTCAGAGTGCTGTACAGCGGACCGAACTCCTCCGGGGGCTGGACCCTGCGGGGGGGGGGGGGGGCCCAACAGGGGGGGTTAAGGGGGGGGAAAAAAAGGGGGGGCTGCGTTTTGGGGGATTTATGGG